GTATTAAAATTCATCGCTGTTTGGCAGCAGATGTATGGATTGATTTGGAATATTCTCGACTTAAAACTCAGGTTCGAATCCTCTCTGTTGTATTTACAACTTTTTTACTTGTAAATAACAAGTAGGGAAGGAGCACTCGCACCACAACTTTGGTTTTTGTAGTCAAGAACCATTCATTAGGTATCCACATTACAGACCAATCGATTGCAATCATAAGTCGAGAAATCACAACCAATTAGGAAAAGAATATTCGCCCCCCCCACCGCAAAGCCCGCGCATTTTCAGATAAATGACTACAGGCGGCCATGCACGCATACATTAAATTCATGCATGTCAGTGTGAGTACGACTGTGTATACCTTGCATGAATACAAGCAATCTCAACTTTATTCCTATGGTTTGTGTATAATTACTGCATCCCAGTCGATGTTCAGCAGTATTTTTCCATTTTTCTTCTCAGAGCAATCGCTACTGGCGAGGTACTCCATCACCGAGCGCTGCAAATCGTCGGGTGCCGTTTCTCTGAAGTTCTGAATGTGCAGTATAAAATCCAGCAACAAGCCACCCTCCTCCGAAGCGTCGTCGAAGCAGTCGGTGATGTCTAAGCTGGAGGGTTGACCGAACTCCGCGTACCTGATATCTCGAAAGTCCAAGCAGCGACGAACATCGGCCGAGGTTAGGTGATAATTAATCGGACGTCCCTGACGAAATCGAAACCTAAGCCGACCAATGCCGCTGTTTCCTGGCAAAAGAAGATAAAAATTCTCTTGAGGTTAATGATTAACGACAACGCCGACATCTGCTTTGCAACGACTTTCGCCACACCACCAGTAATTTACTATGGTTATGACATCACACCTACGGGTTCTTCTGACATTTTCAATCGTCCTTTGGCTTTGCATTATTGGTCAAGTCACAATTGGTGAACAGTGTTTGACTTCATATAAAAACTAGGGTAACATGCCAGAAGGACTGTTGGGGTGTTTCATCAGCCCACCTCTATATTCACTGGCTTTGCATGTTATTTAAACCACCTTGCAGGGCAGTTCTTTTGTTCCACAGGAAAACCTCAATTTTTCCACTTGTTGATTCCCAACATGCCATGCGCGATTTTAACTTCTGGGAACAGAAAAAATTAATTTCCCACTACTGGGGGAAATTAACAAAGGCTTGCTCGCCATTGTTAACTATTAAAAGTCGTTCCTGGAATCATCGGGCAAAGTGTCGCTTTTGTAGTCCACACGGTTAAATGGCCGACATGGCCTCTGTCACTGCAATGGGATTGCAAGTCCTGCTGTTTTTATTTTGTACCGTCCGTGTTAGGTCTATAACTTACCTGAACATAGGATAACAAGCAATACTCCACTGGAGAAAAGCCGGTCGTACAGATACAAGAGTGAACTTTCTAAGGAGTCATCAATGTGGTACATAGAATGAACAGCGCTGATGAAATGAAAGTTAGTAAGATCTCCTGCCTTTTTGTACTGCTCGAGCGTCTGCTGCCGCCAGTCGAACTTTACACCTTGTAGTTTGTATGTATTGGACTGAACCAATTCCTTGTACTTCACCATCAAATTAATGGAAGGCTCAACTACACGATTATCGATGTGCGAGAATTGCACCAGGAGCTTCTCCAACATTGCACAATCCATTTCCCCTTCAAGAAGGAATTAAACAAGTATTCATTCGTCAAAACATGTATTTTAACAAAATTAACTGAGTATTTTATAAGCCATATCAATTTTTCAAATGAAAGGAACATGAAGTAGTGTTTTTAAAGGTGGATTAAATTTGATAATTAACTAAATGACGTAATTTTAAAACTATTTCAAACCTCGGTTATTCCCAGGAATAACTGAGGTTAAGTTTACGTCTTTTAAATAAATAACAAACATGGACAAGGATTAACCGTCGGACGAACGAGATTTACTCGTTTATTTGACCAAAACTCAACCGGCGCAAAAGTCAAAGAAGATGAAGAAGAAGAAGCCTACCCACACACAAATAGAATGGAAATAGCAGAACGGTCTAAGCTCGCCTGTCACGATTGTGGACTAGTATTAACTCGCATTTACTCAGACGAAGCAGAAAAATTGGGCGGTAAATATAATCAACATTTCGTCCTACAAAAAGCCAAAATCTAAAACGAGCAAGACAATTAATGAATTTGAGGCCAAACTAACCGTGGAACAGGCCAGACTCGTCGAATATAAAGTTAACTGAGTTTTGGAGGGTAAAATTTACGGAGGCAAGCCTCTACGAGCTCTAATTGCCGTATGTTAGCGAGACGTGACGGGACAAACTGCTGAAGCCGTGAAAGACCTGTTTAAAATATCCGAGAAACATTTCAACGACGCCGTTAATAAGTTTAAACTTTATGAAGAAGAGCAATATTTCTAAAAACGTCATCGACAATTCCAAGGGCGACAAAGTCATTTCAGTTAAAAACATTTTATTTGAAGTAGGTTATACGTTGGAATCGGATAAACTCGCTTAACTATATTACCCACAGTTGGACACCAACTTTAATTTTTAAAACGGGCAGTCGTTTGATTTATTGCAAGTGATTTTGACAAATAGATATATCCGCAGCGAAAATGAAAACCACGGATTAATTATCGAGCTAAACATTTTGACCACGCAGTTATAGGCCTATATTTTAAAAAGATGGCAACAAACGTCGAGTCAAATATGTATCCAGATTTGACTATCTATCAAGCCAAATCAAACACGACAAAAAATTACCGCCTTCAAAAAGTGAAAGACGTCCGCACTCACATTTTAAGACAAAATTGAAAGAAAGTATATCGACGAGTAAAGAAGAATTTGATCGACAGGTCAAGGAGACGGCAGAAGCACTCGCCAACGAAAGGGCGGCAGTTTTTAAAAAAAATCTCATATCAAAACTTGGCGAGTAAGTTTGACCAAGTCGGTTAAATACCAAGATTGCCCACTCGCTTACGGAGATATAAAAACCCGCGGTGTCCCCTTTTTAAAAAGCTCTATTTAAAAGATTGGTCACAATCTTAGTCATTTGGCAATTGGGGTAAATAAAAACAATTCATTTGCAGCCGAATTTCCAAATTTAACAGTGGCCTATAAATTACCGAGAGTTAAAACTGACGAGGCCGTCAATCGTTGGGTTACCGACCCTATCTCGTTTTATCAGAACCAATTTAATTTCGCGGTGTATTGCGCGACGACGGCTTTCGATTAGTTATCTGATTCTGATCCGTACGTGTCTGCCCTATTTAACTTTCATGTGTATCACACGGTAAGAAAAATATTCTACGACTGCGTAATGCCCATTCCGAGCGACGACATTTTTGACGCGCTGCACAATAATTACGATCATCGCAAATTTACAGCCACTCCAGGTAATTCTTCTAATTCTATCGTTTCGGGTTGAATCGTTTTTAAACTTTGCCCCGCCTGTGCAATTTTTACGCCGTAATCTTTAAGCCTAAAACATTTCTCACAAACCCGATTCCGATAGCCGGCGTTCCTAGCGTTTATGGTGATCGTGTCCAAGTTTACCAATGTGGCGGGACTTCTTTTGCCTGTCAAAGGAACTTCTCTAGTATATCTCTCATCCATGCCAATAAAGCATAAACCTCTATTTGGTCGATATTCAAAAATTTCGTACCGGGGAGATTTTGGCACGTCGGTTCGCCCCATTTTCCTATAATAGTCGTAAAAGCTGTCTACCCTGGGATTGGTTTGAAATGCCTTTGTGCCCAATTCTAATTTATCGGGCCTAGGACTAATTTCTAATTTGGGTCTAACCGAGCCAGAAATAAAAGAAGTCTCAATTTTTTTAATATTTACGTCTTCTTCGTCATCACACGTTAAATTTGCTTCCCCTCTGTCCGATAGGGGCATTTCCTCCTCCTCCTTTTGCCATCTCACTTTATAACAAACGTTTTTTAAAGTTGCTTTTTAACCGGTGGGCACGCTCACCGGCAAAATGCCCTGCGACACGAGCCAGCCCTGCGTTGCCAATGCCCATGCTGAAACTGCGGTCAATTTCACCCGTCTTCTGTCGACAATTTAATTAGATCGGGCGGTTGAATTTTAAGTAGCTTATTGCTTAGCATGGTGTATCCCATGGAAATTAAGCTAATGACATATACCATATAATGGTATAACGTATTGGCGATACCGTTTACGTCGATTGCTTTAGCGTTACTCGTCTTATTATATAGTTTTTAAAATTATTCCATGTCCAAAGTTTCGAGGGCGGGTGTTGTCGCTTGATGCGTTTGAACCTTTGGCAGCACTTGAAAGTTGTTTGAACTTGTGATGGGGTTTTTGACTCGGCGGGCCTATTTTTCAAAATTAAAAATAGTGCGATTCCCCCAATTTCCAAACCGCTGATAATTAAACTTCTGTTTTCTGCGACCGACTTGTAAATTTTATTTTCTGATTTCGTTTCGGGATCGTGTTCGCCCGCTTTCAGAGGGGCAAGCTGCTCTTTCATTTTCTCATTGTGCTCGGCTAATCTTTTGCCCTGTTCGACGC